GGCAGGTTGTGATTGGTTGTTCATTGTCACATGATGTTAGCTGAAGGTATAACATTGCTTTTCCGCCACATTCAACAGACTTCCTGATTGTTTTCTGTTCTTTGTCTGCCCATTAATAAATGATTTTACAACCATACTCGCAAGACTTTTTGTCTTTTTGACATCCTTTCAACGTGTTTCTGCCCATCTTGCCGCGACAATCACAAAGTGACAAAAAATAATACATTCAACTTTTTCAGACTATTAACTGCACACAACCCTACCACAAAAACAGGACTAGATCAGATTCATAAACTGGATCAGATATCAGTGACTGGGTCAGGAAACAAGGACTAGATTAAAAACCAGAAACTGGATCAGATACCAGGGACCGGGTGTCAGACATGAGGACAGACATGTATGAGGGACATGTCCAACTCTTCTGTACATAAACACCATTTATAAGAGACCTCAGGTGAGTTACCTGCCATCAGGAACAGGAGACCTGAGACGTGCTGAGTCAAACTCTCCTCCCAGAAAAAGCCCACAGACACCACGATGCTGCCACACAGCAGGACAGCTGCCGCCATGCCCAGGAAGCCCGCCGTGATACGACGCAGGTCTGAGGGTCCCCCAGAGACACACAGAGACACAGAGTGACAAACAGACACACACAACAGAAATGTAAGGTTAATCTGTCAGGATTGAGGCTGATAAATACAGAATCAAAGGAAATGTTACTATGGTAACTGTCTCCGGCCTGCATCCCAACAGTCCCTATTATATAACCATCAGGACCTGTTTCCATGGCAACCAGAGACAAACATTCTGACAGCTGCAGCATTTAGTTTACACCTGCAGTCAACACACCTGAAGCTTGAATCCTAGATCAATACACCTAAAGTCACTACACCTGGAGTCACTACACCTGGAGTCACTACACCTGGAGTCAATACACCTGGAGTCAATACACCTAGAGTCAAGACACCTGGAGTCAATAATCAATAGTCTCATCAACACATAATAATCTTGAGACTGATGTTAAAACGTTTATATATGTTAGAGAATGGTAAAGATTAGTTTGTTGATGCATATACTGTATATGATACATTTGTGTTGACATGAATTGCTGTTTGGAAGAAACCTATATTGTTTTTTGTTTTAAATAAATTCTTGGGAAAAGAAAGGGGGCAGATTTAATGAATGAATAAATAAATAAGATTGTCATGGTTGCAGCCTTGGTTAGTATTTTATAGTTGTTTTGATGTAATAGTTTCCCAGTCTGTTTTGTTGTTTGGTAGTCTTGTGTTTTATTATTCTATTTCCTGTCTTGTCTCCTGGTGTTTCCTGTGTTCTTTCCTCCACTTTATCCTCAGTCAGCTTGTGAGTGTTTTTCCAGGCTGCCACTCTCACCTGTCCAAAGTCTGCAGCTCCCAGCTGCTCCCACTCCACCATCATCCTGAGTTGTATTTAACCAGTCCTCTTTCATCTTTGTCCCAATGGATCATTGTCTGTTTTTGTAAGCTTCAAGTCACAACCATGTCCAAGTTTTTTCATGTTTTTCAATGTCTTCATTTTTTTAAGTTAGATCAGCTTTTTCTTTTGTTAGATAAATAAACCAGTTATTGTTTTTACTTTCAAACCCTTGTGTATGCCTGCATTTTATACTCAATCTCTATCGTACCACAATCCTAACAAATATTTAGTCAGTACACCTGGGTTAGCAAACCCACAGTCAATATTCCTGGAGTCAGTTTCTAATTTTTGTATTTAAAACGTAAAACAGTCTGACTCTGACCTGAACCCACAACTGTTTGGATAAAATGAATCCGTGTGTGTGTGTGTGTGTGTGTGTGTGTGTGTGTGTGTGTGTGTGCGGAATCACGGAGCAGGTGCCACTCGTCCTGTTGGATGGTTCTGGTAAGGTTTAAAGGGATGTTCCTAAGTCTGATTGGCTGAGAGAAGTGATACTTCACAGCTGTGCAACGATCTGCGATACCTGCAGGATGAAACAGATGAGACACACCTTTACTGTCTAAACACACACACACACACACACACACACACACACACACACACACACACACACACAACCAATAAACTGACGCCAACTAACTGATCTTGATCTATCACAGCTTGAGGACTAACCAGCATCAGGGTTAATCAAGACCAACCAGGGTTGTGTCCAAATTCAGGGCCTGCATCTTTCCAAGGACCTGGTCTAGGTGGGCCAGGTGAAAACTGGAAGAAAGTGCTGTGAGTTTGGATGGTCTAGACTTCAACTTTATTCCTGCCCTACCGGCTCCTGAGCATAAAAATGAGTGGGGCAAACATTAATTTCCTAARTCATTATCAACACGAATGTTACAATTTGCAACATGTTTTCTGTAAATCTATTTAAGTTATGTTACTTTTAATCAGTTATTTGTGCACCAAGTTGTCATCTTTTTTCTCCCTCACCGCAGGTTGTCTCATTAAAAAAAATCCAGATATTAAATTAGCAAAATGCCTCCTGCTCCCACCTGAACTTATTTTAATTGTTGGGAGAACTTATTCAGACGAGTAGCTACGCAGCTTTCTGGATTAGATTTCTAATTAAATTTGGAGTAATAATTCTGTAACAAAACTCCAGATTGAAAAAGTTAAATGGGGACAAAACGTCTTGTGAAACAATTCTAAATATGAAAGTAAAAAAACAAGAACAAAACAGTGATATGCGTCGTCCAAGACTCAACTCAGAGACACATCCGTTTCAATGGTCCTCCAACAGAAACTGAGACCTCACAGTCCAGGAACACCAACCTGCTGTCTTTTACATCTTCTTGTGTGAACTTTATATTTTTATCCACAGAATTGATGTGATCAGTGAAATGTTGGAATTCCTGAGATTTAATTTTAACCCAGGTGTCTTCAACATACCTGAACCAGTGGTATTATTGGAAATGGACGTGTATTGCAAACCTACCCATACAGACCAGTATTAGAGTTTTGACTCCCATAASTCACTGGAACACAAGTTAGGAATCATCAGGACTCTGTACCACAGAGCAGACAGTGTCCCCACAAACACAGAAGGCAGAGAGAAGGAGAAGACAGGCCCTGGAGCAGTGTGGTCATCTTTTGCATGTGACCAACCTGTTTGTCCACCATTTGGAGGCAGTGCTTATAAGGCTGAGTTCACCTGAGACTCCTCAGACTGAAGGTCTCTTAAAGGAGAGATGAAACGTTTCATTAAAGAAGAACCCGCTAACTACCTCAAACAAACTACCACTGAATTGATTGATTGATTGATGTTGCCTTTCTTGTCATTGTACGGAGCACAATGAAATTACATTAAAGAACACCCATTAAAGAGACATGCATGACAAAAACATGGGGGAACAGGTGATCAGGCCATGCAGCAACCAGCAGGGGTCGCACTACCTTTATGAAAAAAAACCTCAACAAACAAGAGCATATTTATTAGCCAGAGGAATAAGTGAGTTTAGAGGGAATGAGTCCGAAGAATCCAGCCTCCCAAAAACAAAACCCGTAGTTCAGCCATTAATTCAGAATATTGGTGTTGAATTGTTCATTCTGTGCAGCTCCAGATTGACCTTCAGGAGATCAGATTAGATGACTGAGAGGGGGAGAGGTGGTGGGGGGGAGGACCACAAATGGACGTAAACACTAGGAGAAATTAGTTCCACAACCTTCACATGGGGGGAAATCTGTAATCAGTTGTTTGGGAACAGAAGACATGTTTTTGGGCAGGCAGACAATAACARTTTTCCATCTGCTTTAATGTCCGCTGGTACATCTGAAGGTGGTGAATCCAATCAGACAAATAATGTGGGCAATCCTGCCAAGCCAAGCTCCCAGATTCTCCAAGATCAATTCCATCTGGCCAGCAAAGTCCAGGATCCACAGCTGGCCCACGAACCTCAGCAGAACCAAGTCCAGCTCGCTCAAGGCTAAAGTCTGAGTGCTGAAAGAACGACAATCCTTCATACTGGTCAGGCAGCCAGGAGATGAAAAGCCACTGACACTGTTTGTAGAACACCAGGAGACCACCAAGCCAATCTGTAGAATCCAGTGATCAGAATCCAGATTTATATCCAGAACAGAGAAGAACAGAGGTCCCATCTTCGACATGTCCTCCCATGGAAGAAAAATTTGTTCCAAAAATTTATCAAGAGACCAGCTAACCAAATCCATCAAAATAAATAAATCCATAATTTCTGGTTTCAGATGAAAATGTAGAGAAGACTCCAAGCAGCAAAGCAGGGAAGAAAACAGAGGGCATGAGAGAGGGAAAAGTCATCTTACTCCTCCAAGA